GGTCAATAAAATTGACAAACCACTAGCAAAACTAACAAAAGAAAAGAAGGAAAAGACACAAATAATATGAATAAGAGATAAAATGGGCAACATCCCAACAGAACCAACGAAAATAAAAAGGCTAATATTGGATTATTATAAAACATTGTACTCAAAAAATATGAAAATCTAGAGGAAATGGACAAATACTTAGAAATGCACAACCTACCTAAATGGACACCAACTGAAATTGAAGACCTGAACAGACCCATTACAAAACAAGAAATTGAAAATGTAATAAAACAACTTCCAGCCAAAAAAAGTCCTGGACCAGATGGTTTTACAAGTGAATTTTATCAAACATTCACAGAAGAACTATTACCAATCCCACACAAGCTATTTCAGAAAATAGAAAAAGATGGTATTCTCCAAGACTCATTCTATGAAGCAAACATATCCTTGATACCAAAACCAGGTAAAGATACCACTAACATGGAAAATTATAGGCCAATATCTCTGATGAACATAGATGCAAAAATCCTAAATAAAATCCTGGCCAAGAGAATCCAACTATACATTAAAAAAAAAAAAGAATTCACTCTGTCAGTGTTCATTAAAATTAATAAAATTTAATAAAAAAAGAAAAAATTCACCATGACCAAGTGGGATTCATAACAGGGATATAAGGATGGTTCAACATAAGAAAAACAATCAATGTAATTCATCACATTAACAAAGCAAAGAACCAGAACCACATGATCCTATCAATGGATGCAGAAAAGGCCTTTGACAAAATCCAACGCCGTTCCTGATTAAAACACTTTACAAAATAGGGTTAGAGGGGAATTTCTTCAACATAGTAAATAGTACATACACAAACCTGAGAGCCAACATTGTTCTCAATGGAGAGAGGCTAAAGGCATTCCCTTTAAGAACAGGAACTAGGCAAGGATGCCCATTATCACCTCTCCTAGTCAATATTGCATTGGAAGTCTTGGCAGTAGCAATAAGAGAAGGAAATAAGAGGAATCCAATTTGGAAAAGAGGAAGTAAAATTACCTCTCTATGCAGATGATATGATAGTATACTTAGAAAACCCTAAAGGTTCAACAAGAAAACAATTGGACATGGTTGACCAATTCAGCAATGTAGCAGGATACAAGATCAACATACAAAAATCAGTTGAATTACCCTTCACAATAGCTAATCACAAGATTAAATACCTGGGAATAAATCTAACCAGAAGCACAAAGGATCTATTCAAAGAAAATTACAAAACATTACTATAAGAAACAAAAAGAGATCTGGAGGAGTGGAAGTGTATCCCTTGCTCATGGATAGGAAGACTCAATATTCTGAAAATGGCAATACTACCAAAGGCAATTTACACGTTCAATGCAATCCCAATGCAAATACCAATCCCATTCTTCAAGGAGATGGAAAAGGTAATCTCCAGTTCCATTTGAAAGGGAAAGAAGCCCCGAATAAGCAAAGCACTCCTTAAAAATAGAAAAAAGGTAGGAGGCATTTCTCTCCCTGATTTTAAATCCTACTACACTGCCGTGGAGGTTAAGACAGCATGGTACTGGTACAATGCCAGACACATAGATCAATGGTATAGAATTGAGAACCCAGAAATCAGCCTATCTACCTATGGTCAACTGATTTTTGACAAGGAGATGAAATTAGTTAAGTGGGAAAATGACAGCCTTTTTAACAAATGGTGCTGGCAAAATTGGAAAGATGTCTGCAGAAGACTCAAGCAAGATCCACACCTCACTCCATATACAAAAACCAACTCAAGGTGGATCATGGACCTAGGACTAAAACCAAGAACTATAAACATCATTAAAGAAAAGCTTGGAGGAACTTTAGTAGTCCTAATCCACAACATAAAAAGTCTTCCAAGTATCCTAAAAAATCTACAACCAGGAAAAGATAAAATAGATGAATGGGACCTTCTAAGAATCAAATCCCTATGCATATCCAAAAACTTCTCCAATAAGGCAAAAAAAGGGAAGCCACAGACTGGGAAAAATGCTGGCAAGGATGTGGAGAAACTGGAACTCTTATTCACTATTGGTGGGAATGTAAAATGGTGCAACCCTTGTGGGAAGCGGTGTGGCGCTTTCTCAAAAAATTGCAAATAGAGATACCATTTGACCCAGCAATCCCATTATTGGGAATATACCCCAGAAAGACCATAACTGCCATCCAAGCAGATATATGCACACCCATGTTTATTGCAACACACAGTGGAATACTACACTGCATTGAAAAACAAGGAAATCATGCAATATTATTCAAAATGGGTGACCCTGGAGGACATTATGCTGAGTGAAATATCTCAGTCACAAAGGGACAAATACTGCATGGTTCCACTGTTGATGGGACTGACATCAGGGTTGGAGTAAGACTGAGAAAAAACTGGATAAATTATGTATACTGTATTAAAACAGATGAGGGAAAGAACAGATTAGAGGCAATATATGATTGAGTATTATGGTTAGCACAAGAATCCAGAATTAAGGCTGCAGAGAGAAGTATACTCGGGGTGGTTGGTGGGGGGGAAGGGATGGGGGAATTGTGTACTAATGAAGGAATTTTTTTCCTTCCTTTTTCTTTTAGGAGAGGGGAGTGAACTGGTGGGGAGGGGTGGGCAGGGAGAAAAGTGCAGCAATGAATGAATGGAAATCCAAAATCTCTGTAAATGTTTATTAAAATTAATAAAAGTTTAAAAAAGGACAAATACTGCATGATGCCACTGTTGTATAACAGGACTGACATCGCTGTTGCGGGGAGACTGAGAAAGATAGATTCAATAATATATACTGCATTGAAACAGATGAGGGAGAAAA